CACACACTCAGCACCCAAAACACAACCACAGGCAGCAGGGACACCTCCTCCTTGGGCTGCCCCAAGGAAATGCCACGTAATAAACTGCGTTTGAGCTACTTGGGTATTTTTGCACCAAGTTCTGGCGACAGCTGTTGTCTGGGGAGGATCCCAGCCCTAATTCTGGCTGAGGGTTGGAATTAATTCCCAAGACAGAGGAATCCCGTCAGGTGCAGCACTGGCTCCCTGCAAGGGCAGGCCTCTGCAAGCTGAACCCCTGTGGTGAATCCACACCAACCTCCCCTCACTCATGGAGGGATGGGCCATTCATGTACCAAGTTTTCCACACCCAAATCTGGAGGCAAACCCTGTCTACTGCAGCTTCTCGTGCAGAGCTGGGGACACGGCACAGGGACTGACTGGGACACAGGACAGGGACATGGTAGCTCTGCTCTGGGTGCCAACAGTCAAATCCCACAGTGGCTCCAAGCATTCAGCCCTGGAGCAGGAGGTGACAGGGCCCAAGGGTTTCTGCAAGCCCACCAGTGCCCAGTTTGGTTTTCTGGGCTTTGCTGTCCCATTCCAGGACGCTGGGTCTCCAGAGAACTGTCACCATAACACACTGGCACCTCCGTGCTCAGGCACAGACCACCACAGCACAGAGCCGGGGGCCAGGACACCCTCCTGGCTCATCCTCAAGAGCCCAGGGTTGCTGAAACCCCACCAGGGCCAGGCTGATCTTGTGGGCACCCCGAGAGCAGAGCACCCCAAAGCTGAGGGGGCTCAGGGCATGGGCAGACGGGTCCAGTGGGCATAGAGCAGGTGGCAGCAGACACTGAAAACAAACCAGCAGCGGGCACAGCTTCTCTTGGCACCTGTTCAGTCAAAAACCCTGCCCAAGGATGCCCTTTCCTTCAGCCACTGACTGCACGGACAAGGAGAGACACTTCACGCTTGGGGACAACAAGTGCCCGTCCCATGCCCATCCCGTGCCCCTGGCACTGCACCCCAGGGCGTTTCCAGGGCTGGACAGGAGCCATGTGCCTCTCCCAGCCTTCTCTGGGGGTTCCAAGAAAGCTCCAAGAAAAAAGCTTCAGAAAACCCTTTCTGCCAACCCTCACACACACAAAGACTCATTATGTGACAGCGAATTCTTTTCGCCCCCCACGGCTGCAGGGGCTGCCAGGCTTGTCCCAGGGAGGGATCATGCTGCCAGCCCTGTGCCAGGGGCTGAGCTGGAGCCACGTGCTTCCCTGCTCCAAAGGGAACCAAGAGGTAGAAGAGGTTTTTCTGGAACAGATCCTGGCTGCAGGTGGGGTGCAGACTGGTGTCCCCACACCACGTGCTGGGCTGTGCTGTGTTGGACTTCTGCCTCTGCTGCTGGGCAGAATTCCAAAACCCTGAGAAAATAGAGGCAGCAGCCCCATCCCAGCTCTCAGCCCTGTGGGTTTTGCTAAGGGAGGGCTGAGTTACAGGGAGAGGAAGGTTTTAAATCAGTGCCTGGGATAAATAATTGCACTTTCTGTTTATGAGCCTGCGACAGCAACACAAAACACCAGGAAAAGACTTGAAAAGAACCAGAAAACACAATCCCAGTGAAATCCAGCAGTTCTTGCTGAGCTGTAAAATTTACCCTCTGCCTTTTTCTTGTAGAAATCAATGAGCTCATCAGGCTCTGCCTTGCAACAATGGGGATGTGGGAAGCAGGAGAACAGCCATAGGGATGGGGGAAGCACCAGGAGAACGGCTGCAGGGATGGGGCTGCTCCAAAGGCTCCATCAGCCCCCACACGTGGGCACGGCAGAGCCTGGAGTCCTCCACAACCAAATAACAAGGACCAGAGGTCTTGAGGGTGAAGCAGGAGTTTAGGGTAAAGAGAAGATAGAGCAGCCGGTGTCTGCCAGAGCATCAGGACCAGCCAGGCACCTGAAGGGAGCAGGGAGTGGGGCGCAGGTAACAGGCACACACAGTCACTGAGAGAGGCACTTACCAGCTCCCCCGAGGACAGCGAGGAGGCATTAACCTCGTCATTAACCTCGTCATTAACCTCATCTTCATCCCAGTCCAGGGTGTTGTGGTCTCTCTCCAGGTCTGCCCTGAGCAGCCCCTCTGGATCTGTTTTGCCATTCCCGAGCACGTGCCCAGGCTTTGTCTGGGAATGTTCATCAAAGGCCAACAATTCACTGCTGCTGAAAAGTTTATTCTTGCCTGTAGCATCCTCGCCGTGCCCTGCAGGACTCTCTGTGAGGCTGAAAAATCTTGGCCAGTGCCTTCCAGTTCTCCGGGGAAAAGATCCCCACAGGAAGGGCGCAGAGTTGTCATGGATCAACGCAGAGTCAGGTTCATCCTCAGGACTGCACTCGCTGCTCCTTGGACAGAAGAAGCCACAGACACCTGCCTCACCTTCCTCATCTTCAGCTGATGAGGAAAAGTGCAGGGCCAGGAGCTCACCCCACTGGCCTGGAGACACCAGTGGTTTTTCTTGGTGCTCAGCACTCCTTGTGTCCATTGTCCATGGACGGAACCCCCACCGCTGGCAAAGCTGGCAACGCAAACCCACAACTTCTTAGCAAGAACCACCCAGGAGATGACATTTAGTTTGCTTTTCCCATTTTCTTTTCCATCCCATTTGATTAGAAAGGGATGTAATGGCCCTTATTTGAGGAATGTCCATGCTCTCCTCACTGGAACATGTGGACTCACAGCACAGGCTGTTCAGCTCAGCCAGCTGGGTTTGTATTCTTCATTTTAAAATACCAAACTCCTTTTAGCCCTTCAGAGGACCTCATGCTTCACATCATGCTCTTTCCACTGCCAGCAGTGCAGCACTGGGGGAAGAGGAGGGGTTTGGAGGGGGCTCATGTGCATGATTTTAGCCAGGTGCTGTCTGAGGTGTGTCTCAGGGCAGGAGATGCTGCCCCTGGACCCTCGGAGGAGCTGGGGCCGAGCCTTCTCCACAGGCAGGAGGAATTCAGCCAAGACAGGGGATCCCTCCATCTGCTCCCACCCTGGGCATGGCAGCACTGGGGCAGCTCATCCCCCACTGCCACCCCACAGGGACAATGGAGCACTGTGTGGCAGGAGCCCTCCCGCTGTGCCTCGCTGTGCCCAAGGCTCCCACTGATGCTCCCTCACCTCCATCCACAGCACAAACAGCAGCTTCTGAGCCACAGAGGGCTTAGAATGCAGATGTGCCGAGGTACCAGGCACGGGGAGGCCGTGACACCCCAAACAACACTTTGTTCCCTTCCCTTAAACGTGGACAGAGGGACAAGGGTCAGGAAGAGTAACAGGGGTGGAAACAGCGAACCTGCATCAGGAAGTGCCCTTATTGTTTTCTGTTACAACCATGGCTGGGAACAAATCTACAGCAAGCTTTCACTTCTCTCTCTCAGGGACCCCTCCCCTGCAGCACAAGCATTGCCCCCTGACAGCAGAGCAACACAGTGACCTTCGGTCTGTGCCAGCAGCAGCCCCGGGTGTTGGGCTCCCTGTCCCACCTGCCCCCAGCGCCGCTCTCCCGTGTCTGCACCGAGGAACCCCCGTGCTGGGCACACCATGCCCGTCCCACCCCTCACTGCCTGCCACCCCTGTGCCGAGTACCTGCGATGTGGAGACTCAGCAGCCTCCAGCCTGACTTGCAGCTCCCACAGCCATGCCATCGATCCTGCCAGGAAAGCCAAAGGTCGGGGCTCACGGGTTCACCGTGCCAGGGGTCAGTCAACAGCTTCACTGGATGAGTTGCTCCCTGATTTTACTGGGAAAGTCCTTCCTTCCACTGTTACCTGCCCCATTCATTTACCCTAAGTTACAATCCAGCACACAGTATATTTGCCTTAAAAAATTAGCTTGGGGGAAAAAATGCTAAATCCAAGCTTTATCCAAATAAAGTGTAACTACAAACCATGGAGCTGCATCGGGGAACAGCTCTTTTGAGTGGAAGAGTTGCATTTCCAGCCCAGTAAATTGCCTTTTTTTTTAAAAAAAAAATGCCCCCTGTTGAATGAAAGTATCTTCTTGCCTCAAACTGGTAACTCACCGAGCAGGCAGAGAACCCGCAGCAGGGGCCGAGGCTGGCAACACTCAGCTCACCCCCCGTGGCTGCCCGCAAGCCCTGTCCTGGCTGCGGGACCCGCAAACCCCGGCTGTGCATCCCGGAGCAACCCCGATGGAGCCGGAAACCAAGGCGGGGGAAGAACCAAGCTACAAAAGGCGGTCAGGGACGGCGCGGTCCTGCTGCCCTCTTGTGACCATCGGGCCGTGGTGGCCTTCCCCAGCCCGCAGCCCATGCCCGGCACAGGGGCAGCGTGTCCTTGCTGCCACCGTGTCCCTGCTGCCACCAGACCCGGGCCAAGGCTCACCAGCCATGGCTGTGCCATGGGTGTCCCCACTGTCACCCAAGTGACCGTCACCCACTCTGCATCCCCAGTGCAGAGCATGGACACAGTGCTGGCTCTTGCCTCAAATCCCAGTGCAGGACAGGGAAGGAGTTAATTGCCATTGGTTCATTAGCCAGGTCAGGGCTGGGGTTAATTGCCTATCGTTCATTAGCCACTCAGAGATAGGGTTTAATATCCATTCATTCATTCATGAGGCACCATCTTACCAGGTCTCTGTTCCCCCTTCACCCCCACCTCAGTCAGCCCCCGGCACACTGAGCCCTGGCCAGTGCTGCTGGGCACACTCGGGTCCCTGAAGCCACCTGAACCCCAATTCTGGGCCACACCAGCACCACTGCTCCTTCCCCGAGCTGTCTGTGACCAACTGGGAGCACTGGTAAGATCTGAGCCTGAGCAGGGCGACGTCCTGGCTCAGCCCCAGGGGCTCTGGCACACGTGGCCATGTCCTGCTGTCCCTGTCGGGCCAGAGGGACACGAGGGCAGGGACTGGGGAGCTTCCCCCTCCTGCCTCAGCTGGGCCCAGGGAGCTCCCGTGGGACAGGCACAGAGAGCACAGAGCTTCCACCCGCACACCACACTGCCCACGGCACCTTCATCCGCTTGAATTTTCAAATTTTAAAGTTAAAAACAAATTTTCTTTTTATTGGTATTACATAGATCAAAATTAAATACATACAACAACTTCTGCTGATAAACAGTATTAGAAAAATCCTAGTAGGAAAGCAAGCCTGGTTTGTGCATCAAAGAATCAGCTGCTTCTCTGCAGAACAGTTCAAACACTTCATTAAAGGCAACACAGCTGCTTCCCCCTGCTTTTCTTTCCCCCTGGAAAGTACAGCAGTTGTTACCACAGACATTTCCAGCACAAGCTAAACCTCTGTTGTGGTCCCAGGGATCACTCACCTGCACAGCCCTCGGGGAGGGATGGCTGGACACCTGGACAGGACAAGGGACATTCAGGGGGCACTCAGCACCCCGAGGTAACACCAGTAGTTTAAAGCACTACCAGCATTAACTGCAGGCATCTGCAAATATCCAGGCATTTCACTTGCCTGAACTGAAATGTTTTGGTTGTATTTAACGTGCCCGAGTTCCATTGGCTTTGGCATCGCTCACCCACCAAGGGACAAGGTGGTTCTGTCACAGTGGGGGCTCTGCAGGACATCCACGGGTGGCTGAGGAACAAATCCCAGTTTGGGCTTCTTCATTTCCTGACATCACCTAAGACAGTTCCTCTCCAGTCATTCCCACTGGTGCTCCCCACTCCGTCTCTCTGTGCCATTATACTCCACTCACAAAAAGGGCTCCAATAATCATGATACCCGAGTGGAAAGGCCAGGCTACTCCATGGCTCTTCCAGAACTAACTGGAACCAATTATAACATCAACTGGAGCCACGAAAACCCAGAAAGTCTGGTTTCCTTCCCAGCTGCTGCCAGCTCAAACCCACAGAGGTCACACCTCCAGTGACACAGACCCTCCTGGAGATGTCGCAGCTTTAGGAGGCGATGGCTGCCATGCCAAAGGGGGATTGCCATGAGCCAAAAACCAAACCAAAATCACTCCTTCCCCTATAACCAGGTCACGTCTGCCTGTTCTTGCAGATTAAAAACAGTTCTTGACTGAAAAACTCAGTGACCAGCTGAAAAGTAAAGCAAGTTAATGTAAGAACAATTTTATTCTCTTGTATAAGCCAAGAGTGTTGATATAGAACAAATCACTGTGAGACTCAGATCCAAGCCAAAAACAAGGAAAAGGTTGGGATTTTAACTCCCCTGAAAAATCATTTTCCTTCCTTTCAAAATATTTCTGGATCAGTTAAATGTTACTCCAATTATCCTTCAGCTAGAACAGCAGCTCAAGTCACAAGACACTACAGAGACAGAACCCAAGGATTTCTCTGCAAGTGTGGTTGAGTTCTTGTAAAGGAACCCCACTGTAGCCATCAACAGCTTTACTATCCACTTCCCTTGAGTATTTCTTTTCAGCTTCATAAAGCTGAACTAACTTTTAAATTAACAAAAAATTGCACACTTAGAAGGAAAACCACATTCCATACCAGTAATAATTTAATGGAAGCTTAAAAATTCCCCATTTCCATGGCCCCCATGTCGATGAACCCCTATAGCTCCTCTCCAGCCCCTTGGTGCCACAGTGAGGCCCTGTCACACACAGCAGTTCCTTATCCCCAAAGGCAAAAATGCACTTTTAATCTGCAACTTAGCAATTTCCATCCCAACCCCCAGCACTAGCAGTGTTTACAGCACAGACTGCTATTGTACACAGAACTATAAATTAGGAACATTCACACCTCAGCAGGACCCACAGACCTCAGGTTCAGTCTATCTGCACAACTGCAGGAAAAAGGACATTTTACAGCAGCTTTTTCACCCCAGATGTTTTGAAGCTCTCCTCTGGATTGCTGACTGAGAACAATGGACAACAGGAACCATTTCAGCAGTTTCCAAAAGCAGATCCCAGCTCTCATCCCTGTGCCAAAATACACCCAACCATGCCCACCTGTGGTTCTCCAGGTGAGGTACAAAAAGCACCTGCAGGGACTGGAAAAAGAAACCCCCTCCCTCTTACAAAAGTGTTAAGCAAAACAAAAGCCCCACAAAACAGTGTCCAACATCTCAGGGCAAGTACAAGGGAACAAAATGCACATTTGCTCACATTTCTGTTGCTGTCCCTGTAACAACCAAAGGAGCAGTCACACACAGGCAGGCGAGAGCAGAATCCATGTCCTGCTCCACAGCAGCCTCCACCTTCAGCACCATTTACTCTCCTTCCTTCAACCTGTTCTAAAACTTTGGGGCCCAAGCCCTGGTGTGGTTTGTCAGCACCAAACAGCCCGTGCAGCAAAACCTCAATTTACTGCACAGAACCCCTTGTTTCTATCATATATACACACTCTTGGTGCTCTCCAGGGAATTCTCCCTTCCCAAACAGAGAGTGAGAGCTATAAACCAGTTCCAAACCAGTTCTGAGTGTTTCTGCAGGACTCCAAGCTGTCCCCTGTGGTCACAGGGCCACACCTCTCTGAGCCCACACCCCTCACAGACACAGGGCCAGGGTGACACAGTGCTGAAGGCATCAGGCTGGAACCCTCTCCCCTGCACATGAAGGGATGAACACACACAGCACACAGATATGGGCAAAGGCAACTCCCTGCCACCAGCTCCAATTCACTGCCAAGAGACTCAACTGGGTTTTGCTGAACTGCTTCCCAGGAAAGCCCCCAGTCCCACGATGCCCCACGCGCACATCCCACCACTCCAAAGGGAATGAAAGGAGTCAGACACGTCTTTTCCCTCTCCACACATCACAGCAGTGAAGTTCTACAGTTTGATAAGGCATCTTCATCTTCAGTGAGAATCCAAGCACAGGCACGAACTCTGCCAAGTAGTGTGGTCCTGTAACTTCATCTCCCAACAGCTTGGAATTCCAGGATCTCCTGCTCTGTCCTCAGTCCCAGTGGGCACTGTTTATTTAACACCAGTACAGAGCAGGGCTAAATAAACCCCTCAGTAGCTGGACCTCGGTATCTTTCACAAAGAGGGACACACAAACGAGCACTTTTTGCAGCTCTCTGGCTTTATCCCACAACCTGCCTTTTTACAGTATCCCTATATATAAATTAGAAAGAGATAAAGCCAAGGATTCACTGCAGCGTCCATGAAAAACTCCAGTCCGTGTCCCATTCCCTTGGGATGGGGCTCACTGAGGGGTGAAGGTGAGGATCATCCAGCTGATGACGAAGTAGAAGAGGAAGATGGGGTAGACGACGAGCGCCTTGCGGTTGGGGGGCTGGCTGTCGGCCAGGAACGCCGTGGAGGCTGCGGAGACACAACAGTCAGCACAGCCCCACAGGGACAGGGGCTGCACTGCAACTGTGGGGAAAGGGAAACCACAGCAACCCACTGCTCACACAACGGGCTGCAATCACCAAGTACCACTCCCTTTTTCACAGAGAAAGGTAAATCACGGAATCACACAACGGTTTGGGTTGGAAGGGACTTTAAAGCCCCTCCAGTTCCACCACCTTCCACTAGCCCAAGCTGCTCCAAGGACACGAGGAGCAGAGGCAGAGGCTGGACCTGTGCCTGCATGAGGATTGGAAGAATTAGGGTCCAGAAGGCAAGTCCTACAAGGAGCAGTGATGGAGCTGGGGGGGCTCAGCCTGGAGAAAAGGAGACTCAGGGGGGACCTTCTGGCTCTCTGCAACTCCCTGACAGGAGGGGGGGGCAGGAGGGGTCGGGCTCTGCTCCCAGGGAACAAGGGACAGGAGGAGAGGGAACGGCCTCAAGCTGTGCCAGGGAGGGTCAGGTTGGACACCAGGAGGAATTTCCTCATGGAAAGGGTGGTGGGGCATTGGAAGGGGCTGCCCAGGGAGGTGGTGGAGACTCCATCCCTGGAGGTGTCCAAGGAAGGACTGGACTCAGTGCTCTGGGCTGGGGGACAAGGTGGGGATTGGGCACAGGCTGGACTCGATGGGCTGGGAGGGCTTTTCCAAACTCAGTGATCCTGGGATTCTTTCTACAGTAGTACAGCTGCCCAGGAAGCACGTTAGACTACATCACCCACTGGCTCTGCCCAGGGGACTGAACGCAGACCAAGCCCCTGAGCAGAGCACACAGGGCACACGCAGGGCACTCACCCAGGGTGGACCACCCGAACATGGCCACGACCACGATGAGGCGGATGATGAAGCTGATGGTGCCAGCGCCCGCCAGCAGCACCAGCCTGCACACCAGCATGGCCACGGTGAGCGGCAGCACACAGTACCCCAGCACACACAGGCTCTGGAAGAAGGAGCTGCACAGGGACACGGGAACGGGAGAACAGCAGTCAAAGCAGGCAGTGCAGAACTCCACGCACAGGAGGGTGTGAACTGCCACGAACAAACCCACGAACAAACCCACTCACATGGTCCCTCCGAGGAGCTTCGAGTTGAGGGTGATGACCACGGCACCAAACCAGATGATGACAAAGACCTCGGCAAACTGGGGCCCTCCATCGTCCTTGCTGTCTGCAGAACCACCCTGCAGCATCCTGGGGGGAGCAGAGAGAGACAGCTGCTGTGGGGACAGAGAAATCCTGCTGTGGGGACAGAGAAATCCTGCTGTGGGGGCAGAGAAATCCTGCTGTGGGGGCAG